ATTAAACAGTGCTCAAGTCTAGCAGGTTTTTGAACTGGGAAGTTGTATATTTGCAAATGTTGTACTGGAAATTTGCACATGCAAAGATAAATAAATTCCCACCTGAACTCATAATAGTATCCCGACACGGTGGTGACCAGTTATGTTTGTCAGTTGAACATTCTATAGATATCGCTAGCAGATATCCTAAGCAAGTGACTCGTCTGAATGTTCAAACAATGACGCTTGAGATATTAAAGTTTTCTTCCTCAACTGATCTGCTACCACGTCAACGACAAGGGAAGTTCCACAGAACAAAAGAATGATACCGCGTCTGAAGCTATTGACGCCGCCAGCGAGTTCCCGGCTGAAGGTCTACCCGACGAGCCGAGCCGAGCCGAGACGAGCCGGGCTGAGCCAGACCGATACGAGGACGCCTCTTCTTCCTGATGCATGTGAGAACACAAACCTACCTGCGACAAACATCTTATAGGTTTTTATGTTTCTATATTTTCGATACACAGGGTGTCCCATTGAATCCGTAGTTTATTACTGTCTTTTTCTCTATTTCTTGTCCTGCATCGCATGCAGGGACGCGGCGGGCCTGCCTATATGTACTACTGTGGCTCACTGTGGCGCATTATGGCGCCCAGGAAGCAGGTAACCCACCCATAAGCGTGAATGCGGTACAGTATGAGCAAAAAAAATATTTTAAAAAAAACAGGACGAAGTCTTTTGGACAGGCAAAGTCAGCACATTTATAGCAATTATTGTTCCCTAAAGTAAGAACAACAACACTTTGAAAAATTCTAGAGCAGCCAATAGAGCGCGTCTTTAGAAGGTGCTGATTAGCACCCTTTTTTTCCCGAGGGGTCCCCCACTCGTCAACTCGTTGTACACTTAGCCGCGCCCAACTCGCGCTAAACTCGCGTTCAACTCGCGACAACTCGCGTTCAACTCGCGACAACTCGCGAAAACTCACGATAACTCGCGAAAACTCGCGTGAAAATCGCTAAAACTCGCGCCAAAATCGCGCAAAACTCTCTAAAAATTGATCCCAACTCGCGCCCTACTCGCGGCAACTCGCCAACTCGGCAACTCGTTGTACACCTATTTTGGAAGTGGGGGACCCCTCGTTTTTTCCAGTGCGGGATTTTGTTTTCGACACGGGATGGAGCGTGGACCCACCTGTGGGGTGAAGTTACAAAACTCACCTCTACCAAACGCTTGTGAGGCAAAATCTACTCATTCTGCAAATTAGGGGAATATCGCGTTAAATTTTGCAGCCCGTGAAGTAGAAACACTTTCATTACGCAGGTCGGTGCTTTGTCCCCTCGATGGGATGGACCTGAACCTTCTCGAAATTTAGTCCCATTAGAATAGGAATTTTTAGAAACAAGAGCTTAATTTCATAAATGTTAAAGGTGTTGAAGGAGTTTCAGTGTTATCGATATCGACTCTCAGATCGGCTCCCTCGTGGACGCGGTGCATCGTCCTTTTTAGTTGCGTCACGTCGGGCCGCGCAGCGCGCAGCGCCAGGGGGTAGCTTGGGGAGGGGGGGGGGCACACGGGCCGAGCCGTCCACGAGAACAAACACCTCAGCGACCGTCAACAGGACAACACACATGCAGAACATAACACACTACAAGGTCGGACCGCCGGGCCGCCGGGCGGTGTTCGGTGTTGCCCAATCCGAGTCCTCGCCCGCACGAGTACCTGCCCTTTCTTCAAGCGCTATCGGCACTACTTGTCGCCGCAGCGCGTGCAGCCCGGGCGGCCCCGTGACCACCTCCTGTGAGCAGCGGGCTGCGGCGGGCGGCGGCAATGCAGGCCCGTCGAACATGCGCGCGCGCCGGGCTGCCTACCCGCACGTCTGCAGGGTCTCCCGTCTGGAGAAGCGGGCACACCTAGGGTACACGCCCACAGGGCACGCCCGGGGGGCGCATATGGCATGCCTGAATGGCATGCCTAAACGGGAACTCCTAAAGGGACGCCTAGTCATCAGGCGCGATTGGCAAATGTTTGCAGATCCACGAAGCTTCCTTTCACCGTGCACTCTGTGCAGCGGCGCTCACTCACGCTGGAGCAGAAAGTGCAGACGTACTTTGTGGTCTAGAGTCGCACCTTCATGGAGCTCTCGCGTCCACCGCCGCTCCGAAGCGGCTAGGGGCTGCACGTGGTGAGCCCTACTGCGCATATTGTTTACTCGGGCAGGCAGGCGGCCAGGACCAGGACCTACACAGCGATGTTGTTTTGAAGCTGCAAGGACCGCGACCGCGCCGCGCCACGCCCACCACGCGCCGCGGCGCGCCGCTACCATGCCGCTACGCCGCGTGTCGTCACGACCGCGCCGCGCCCACGGCCGCACCGGGTTGGCTGCGGCGCGAGGCGCGTGGTTCCCGCGCAGCGCGCCCATTGGTGCCGCGTGGAGGCTCGCCCGGCCGCAGAGAGCGAGAGTGAGTGAGAGGGTCTGTGTGCTAGACGGAGAGAGAGAGGGCAAAAAAGAGACAGAGAGAGAGAGACATACAGACAGAGAGAGAGACAGAGAGAGAGAGAGAGAAATAGAGATAGAAAGACAGAGAGCGAGAGAGTTTGTGCGTCGGGCTAGACCAGCGGGGGACAAAGGGGGAAGGGGAGGTTGTTATTGCCACAGTGAGTGACCGGCAACATACTAGCCATTCTGTGTGTATGCTTCCTCCTGCTATCCTGCCGCTGTATTTTGTTTACCACGACAAGAGCTAGAGAGGGGGGGGGGGCGGAGGGGTGCACACTGTTAAATCAAGTGTGAGACTGCTAGACTTCGCCTCAGAGAAAGAGGCAGAGTTCTCTTTCGAGTGCGGTTTGCTGGAGTGATGTGCACCTGGCGGACCTTGAGGGCGACGGCGGGGCATTCAAGGCCATGGCCAGTGCTCGTGCGGCAGGGTGTCGCGGTGGTATGCGGCAGGATGCTCTGGCAGTTGACAGAGCGTCATGAAGAAGACTGCTGTGCAGTCCGTGGGAGACAGGGCAAGGACCGTCCTTATGTGTACTGTGAGAGTACGTCATTCCAAACAGATCCGAGGGAAAGTCGAGGAGACGGGGATTACCATCGTCAGGTCAGTTACCCTCAGTCCCGTAACATGTCGCCTTCATGGGTAGGCAAAAATTGGCGCTTTCCGTCTGTAAACTAGGCAAAAAGCTCCCCTTTAGTGCCTGCTCGGGATCCGAACCAATATTCAAATGATATGGCATGTCACCGCACACACAGGAGAGTACTTGTGACGTCCTCGTAGCGATAGACATGTTTTCGGAGTGCTCAGCTCAGCGGTGGTGTGACCGTCGTGGTGCTTGAGCGCCGCACGCGCCTCGTGCCGACTTCGATAGTCCTGTGCCTGCAGGATGTGCGATGGGGAGGGGGGGGGGGAAGGTCGGACTCCTCGTCAACAAACTCCCCCCGCCGCTCCCCTCTACTCTGCTGGCCGACGACCACTACGCATCCTGAAAGTCCGGACAGCATGATGTTTTTCTTTGGAAAAATAATTACTTAATGGACTTTGCCATTCTACTGCAGTCCAACCGCATTTGTTTTGCAGATGAGCATAAACTAGTATAAATGGTACGATCAAAAATGTCCGTCTCATCTCTGTAATGAATTTCGTTTCGTGTAGACCAAGTGTTTGCTTGCGTTGGTATCGCTGCAGAGTACAGTGCACCAATCTAGCAGTATTTCGAAGATGTCTTCATGGTGCGCGTCAACACCTCGGTCAACACATTCAGTGCGACGCGACCATAATGTGGCCACTCACACTGGTTTTTACAACCCCCAGGTGACTCAGGCACAGCCGCAATGGACGTTTCAAGTACGGCAGTACCAGGAAGCTTTCTTTTTCTCGTCGTCTGTTTTCGCGTCGAAATGACAACACACAAAAAAGGACGGAGATGGTGAGGAGCCAAGTTATTACGCATGCATATGCAGAGTCGCTATGCTCGTGCCAGCTGCTGGGTCGTAGCACTGTGCTTCGACGAACTTCTGAGCGAAAGAGTACGAAGCAAAGCAAGGCAGCGGAGCTGCAGCCTGCGCGGGCGAGCACGCCAACAGCAGGGCACGCCTGCAGGCGAGCCGAGCAGGCCGGTGGCACGCCCCTAAAGGCTCGCCCGATGGAGCGGAAACGGAAGCAGCCGCCCCTCTCCCGGCCGCGCATTCACACTTCCCGCGTGTGAAACACAGCAATCCAGACGAAGTGCAAGCGGCGAGTAGGTGACGGGTGACGGGGAGGCGCCAGTCACACCTGCATGGCCCCACCTTCAGTCCTACCCCGCGAGGCTGGTATGAACGGAAGACCTGAGCGGCTTACTTCGTGTGACGCGCCCCAGATTCGTGTCGTTAACGATGACCGAGCATCACCTCCTCCGCTATTAATACATTCACCACGTTCGCTTCTGAGGACAGCTCGCGAGAGGGAGCCACGAGTCGCGGTGCACCCCGCGGCCACCGGCGGCCGAGCAGCGGGGCTGGCGATACTCCACGCCTACGCCCGCGAGGCTCGCGAGGCTCGCTAGCAGGTCAATACTCCGACCCATTTTGTTTAAAAGGTAACCTCGCCGATACTCCATGCACCCCTTTACTGCCCATTGGGGGAAGGAGAGCTCGCATCGCCTCTACTGTCATGCACGTCAGCTTGCCTCGTACCAATCAGATGGCGTTCTGCCCTGAACGTCGTCCCATACACGCGAACCATGAAACATGTCGCAGGGCGATTTTACCAACTGGGGGTCCTCTGCAGCAGCCATTGTAGTTCCCCCACCTACTTACCTACCTACCTACCAGCTTCCGGCGGTTTAGTTGCCCCCTGTCTGTTGGACGCCATCCTCGCGGCCCTTAGGGACCGCCCCTGCGCGACAGACCTTGGCGATGGCCGCCGGCCAAGTCCACCGCCAGGCCGTGGTCGGGCGCGGCGCCCCGTCCTCGCTCGTCGCCCGGGCCTACCCGGCGCACCCCGAGCTGAGCCCCGGCAGCCTCCTCGCTGCAGGGCCGGGATGGGCGGGGCAGGGATGAGCTTACTCCGAAGGCACCGCTGAAGCTCAGCCGGGCCCGGCCAAGCAGCACCAGGGCACGGCGAGCCTGCGGGGGCCAGTCGAGGGGGCTGGCCGGGGCGGGCTAGCTGGGTGCGGGGGACCACCAGGACGCCGTCATGGACAAGACCAGCAGCAAGTCGGAGTCCAAGGTGAGAGAGTCGACAGGAAGAGATGTTCGTCGGCGACACGTTTTAGTGGTCACCCCGACGGGTTCCGAGCTTTTACACTTCTCTCCGGGTTGTGCCCATCCGTCCGGACCATGTTTACACAACAGGTAAGCGGTCGTTTGGCTGGAAACGGCGAACTTTTGACCGCCGCCCTTGCGAGGCCGTGCGGTGGGCGGCTCGAAAAAGGTCCTCGCCGGGAGTCGAACCCACGACGCGTTCGTAGTCGACGTCGCCATTGCTGGTTGCTGGTTTCGTCCCACTCGACACTATCGTAATCTGCAGTAAAATAATCACCCATAGGTAAACGCAGCAGTGATGCCTGAGCCACGGACGGGTTCTCATTTTCTTTTCTTACCTTGCGCTATTTTTACTACCCCTCGCCGGCGCCGGCTGGTCGGACCAGATCGGCGGAACAGAACAGTGTCTAGTGCTCGCAAGGGACCAGCAGCTGCCCCTACCCTCATGTCATGTGCACCCCCCCCCCCCTCCCCCTATGCACCTCATGGTTTGAGATGCTCGTACCGTCCCGACCCGCCACGGCCTCGAGCGCGCTGACCTCCGACCAGGCTGTCATGACAAAGCCGGGCGCGGGCGGTCAGCCTGTGAGGCGGCCGGCGGCCGTCCCGTCACGCTCGTGCGCGCAGCGGCTGGCCTACCCGTGCCGCCCACAGGCGCTCCGGCCTTGGCTCTGACCTAGCTCCCTTTCTCGGCTCGCCCCCAGGACTCCAAGCTGAACCGGCCCGAGGAGCTGCCATGGGACGTGGTGGACCGCTGCCTGCTGCCCGTGCTCACGGCGCACGCGGTCGCCGTCATCCTGGCCTTCGTCCTCAACACGCTGCGGATCTCGCAGGTGTCCTCGTGGACGCTCTTCTTCTGGTTCACCTCCATCACGCTCGCCACGCTGTGGTTCTACCACAACCTGCATGTGACGGCGGCCGGCAAGGCCGTCCTGGTGACGGGCGCCGACAACCGCCTGGGCCAGATCATCGTCCGGCAGCTCGACGAACTGGTGGGTGGTGGGTCAAATACGTCCTGTTCTGGTCAACGGCGAGTTTCCCTGGGGCCTTACGATAACTTGATTGTAGGGCTTCACGGTGTTCGCGGGGATGCGGAGCCCGTCGTGCCCTGAGGCGGGCCGCCTCAAGGAGCAGTGCTCGGGCCGCCTGCATGTCGTGCAGCTCGACGTGACCAGTGAGAAGGACATCCTGGCCGCTAGGGACTACGTGGTCGGCAACCTGCCCCAGGGCAGTGAGGGTGAGTGGCATGCGAGGAGGTGGTCCTTAGTCCTTAGTGCGGACGAGCCTGACCCTGACGCGCTGCTCTGCCTCCCGCAGGACTGTGGGCAGTGGTCAACAACGAGCAGTGGGCTGCCTTCGGCGAGGTGGAGTGGGTGCCCCTGCCCGTGTTCCGCGAGGCCACCGAAGTCAACTTACTGGGCACCATCCGCGTCTCGCAGGTGTTCCTCCCCCTCGTGCGCAAGGTGAAGGGTGAGTGCTCGCCGTCTGACTGGTCTGACCGACCGTTCTGCAGGTTCTCCACAGCGTATTCGAACTTACCTCTTCGTTACAGGTCGCGTCGTGAACGTCGTCAGCATCCTGGGCCACATGACGGCTCCCCTGCAGGCGCCTTACTGCACCGCCAAGTACGCCGTGGAGGCATTCAGTGACTGCCTGCGCGCCGAGATGCGGCGCTGGGGGGTGGACGTGGTGGTGGTTGAGCCGGGCGACTACACTACAGGTAGGCAAGGCACTCACTTTAGCTTTCCGCGGTTTTGCGTCAGCCACAGCCGTGGACCACTGTGTTGTGTGTTCTTCGCTTTTTCAGGCAAATTGTGGTACGACGACAGCAAGATGCTGCAGCAGGCTAAGGACATGTGGGAGGCCATGCCGGACGAGGCTCGTCAGGACTACGGCGAGCACTACTTCGAGTACACCGTGAGGCGCACCCTGGAGCCCTACACCAAGGGCACGGTACGTACGGCTGCTGAGGGCATCGAGGGGTGTCCTAGAGGGAGAGGGTACAATAATGTCTCCCTTATACCCTCTTTGAACTTGAACTACCAACGAGTGGAGAGTCAGCATAGGATCTCTTGCAGGGACCCCGTGATATTTGTATAAATATGGGTCCCGATGGGTTCATATGTGTAGTCCGGTAGTCCTGTCCTAAACCTTCTGAGCGGGGGCATGCAGATTGTACCCCCCTCCCTCTCTAGGGCACACAGTTTGGGATCGTCCAGAAAGTATGTCCGTTTTCCACTAATTCATTCGGCAAATTAGGAGAGCTTGGCGCCTGCGAGACTCGGGATAGGCCACCCCGCAGTACGCGCATGCACAACAGACAAGATGTTGCCTACCTGCCAGGCATTATGAGAGCATGGAGAGGCTGAACTTTACAGGTTCGTAACGGCGATAGACGGACGTACTTTATGGATGATTCCTGAGGTGCACGACCAAAGTTCTATCCCCGCGGGTGTTCTTTCGGGGACTGACTGATTGGTGCGGCCAGACGAGCCGACCGCGACATTGGACACAGGGGCCCTCCAACTTACTGACTGCTTTGCCTGCAGGACACAGATATGGCTCCGGTGACCCGCTCCCTCCAGGACGCCGTCTGCAGAACCTTCCCCCTGCAGCGGTACACAGCCGTGACGCGCGCAGAGAAGATTCGCGCGCTCGTCCTCAACCACCTGCCCCGCTCGGTCCACGACGTTCTCTACCCATAAGTCCGCCCCCAGCCCGTAGCCACGCCCGGACCATGCCGGGGCACATCTTGAGGGGACCATAGGGTGTGTGCAGAATCTGGCTTAATCTAAGCAAAACGATACGAACATGGTAAACGAGTGCCCTACCGTGTAGGACAGCGGCTGCCGATGTACTGGGGCCAGGAATCAGCACGCCGCGATGGATAAAGAACAAGGAGCGCAAAGCTCCGACGTTGATTTTGCTGTTTCATTGAGACTTCATGCATGTCGTATCACTCAATATAATCGATCGCCTGCTCTGTGCTAACGTCGCACAGCCAGACAAAGTGGAGGGTGGGTTAGAGCAGCACCCAAGTAGAAAACGTTTGTCAAAATTATGTCAAAATTAACTCATTTTGACCCTTATCGTCAAAATTGACTGCGGCTGTGGTCCGATTGACCTCATTTTGACGTCAAATGAGGGTCATTGGCTAGTTTTTGACGATTGTGTTCTACCTGAGGAGGAGAGCTCTCCGAGCAGAAGCCGCAACGCCACCTGACGAACACTGTCAAGTTGGGTGCGCGTTCTTTGTACTACCTGTTCTGTCATGATTCGAACGTTTGCAACGTCAATAACGAGATTGCTTGACGTACCGACACTCAGTATATGAGACACTCCTGTTCTCATTATTTGGACAGCTGCTGACGTCAAACAGAGATATTCAGACGATACTTTCCGTAACGAACGGTTGAGGCTCTGGGGTTTAAAGGGAGATAACATAGTAGTGCCAGATATTCACACAGTCTTTGAAGAAAGAACGTAAATTATTCAGAATCCAATACATGTTAAGTTACAAAAATAAACACAATAACTGCCAGAGGATCACTCAAAGCTTCAAGAGCTGTGAGAATATGTAGACAAGCAGCGAGTCAGTGTATGAAAGCAGCGAGTCAGGTGTATCAAATGTATTTGATACATAAAAGGATTAACTCGTTCTTTACGTGTGTAAGTATTGTGTAAAGTCCTGTTTTCAGCTCAAATACTAAAGTAAAAAGGTTGTGTAAAAGTCGCGCTTTATAGAGCTTCTGCAATGGTCAGGTTATTTTAGCCTCGCGGAGGAATTGTATAAACGAACGAAAGTGAAAGTGAATGAGTCGTTGTCAACAATAAAAGTTATGACGTAATTTGTGCGCTTGATTCTAAATCGAAGTTGTGCGCATGCGCGAATTATAAAAGCTTCTGATTGTTTATCAACATGCATTGTTTTGTTTACATTATAGAAATCAAAGTTATAATTTGTTTATAATTTATGAAATTTTTTACAAGCTTATATTGTGTAATAATATGAATTTTCAATATTAAATTATGTGTTGGAGCCGAGTTATCAGTGCTGTTATAACCTATCCGCGGCCATTGCTGTGGATACATGTCCGCTAACTTTCATACGCATTTTTCTCATAAATTTACATATATAATTGAAAAAAACGTCTATTATTGATTTATGTCCAGATAAAATGCTATAATTTGGTTATAAGCAAGTATGTATATCTGTTGTAGTTTTTGAGCTGAAAGTGGGGACTAAATTACACCATACTGAGCACAATACTCGTTCTTCCACCTCAAATAAATGAAGGAGGAGGATGGAGGTAAAGAACGAGTAAAAAAACTAAATATTAAAAGTTGAGGGGAATTATGATCCTATTCACACATTCTGGTTAACTTAGGAATAAAAAAAAGTTTTGCCTCATATGTTTACATGTTGTTTTTAGTAGTGTTTTGGGGTCCAAAGAGCATTTGAATTTTTACTGTTGATTTGCATGTGTGTGTTCATTATTTCACAACTAATATGTATCATCTAAATGATACAAGAGCAAGTTCAGCTGTAGTAATAAAATGTGAACAAATGTGAAACGTACCATGTCCGCAATTACACATTACACTACCTACCATTAATATGCTCTCCTACAATTCTTGGGAAAAATAAAAGTTTTCACAAACAAACAAATTCAGTCTTAGAGAAATTTTTAATAAAACACAGAATGCAAGAAAACTGGACAAATTCATCAATACCTGATGCAGGTAAGTTCATTAACAGTGCTTGATTATCAATTGATCTATGGGAAGTAACAAACTTAAAGTCATAAATAGGTTGACTTTTGTTCTTAACTTTACACAAATTACAAACAAATAAAACTTTAGTTGTACAAATTACTTTACAACAATGCCGATTCAAATCTTGTCATATCACTGGCTATACAGCCATACAATGTAATTGAGAGCAAAATTCTGACTTATCTTTCACGATTTATAAAATTGAAGTGTTATATAAAATCACAGGCACAGTTGAGGGTGACGGCCGTTGAGAGTAACCATCCTCTTCATCCTGAAACATAAAAACACCATTCTCCAAGACTGCGGACTATATGCCGCAAGAGTACCTAAACCTACTGGCTAGGAAAGCAGATTTAACAAGAAATTCCTTGACTAGTGAGCAAAGGAAGAATCCATCAGAGTGCTTAGCTTTGTCTTTGCACTTAAAACTTCAAGTATTAACGAAACCAAATATGTGAAATAATAAATACTTTTTAAACACAAAGATAAAGCATTTGCACTCAGACAAAACTGAAATGAAAGCACTTCCTTTATGCCATGTGAGGCAAGAATCCACCAGAAAGCTTAAGAATGTTCAAAAGGAATTGAGAAGAAACTAACTCCAGAACAAGTTTCGTAATGAGTAAAAAGCCCCCTTTAATTTTGAACTTTATAACAGTCCCTCAAAAGTTGAATTTTATAAAAATACAATAACAAAATATATCATCTAAGAAAAAAAAAATTACAATCATTTCACATTGTTCCACCATTTGGCAATCACAACTTGTTCAATGCAGCAAGTTTTTAACCAGAACGCACTGCTGTAGCCAAATTACCATAAATAAAGAAAGTGCTTCATTTATTTAATGTAAAAAAAGAAAACCAAGAGATCTACATAGGGATGTCAGAGAGAGGATACCACCTTTTGCAAGTTGCTCAGTCCTTGCGTCCGTGCCTTGCCGACTTCTTACCAGACGACCGGTCGGACGCGGATGACGAGGAGTCCCTGTCGCGGTGCTTGGGGCGCCTGGAGCGGGAGCGGGACGTGGACCGGGACCTTGTCCGGGTGCGGTGGCGGTGCGAGGACACCGACACGGACCTGGAGCTGGATGAGCTTCTCTTCCGCCGGCTGCCCGACCTGCTGCGGTCCCGGCGTTTGCGTTCCTTGTCTCTATCTCTGTCCCTGTCTCTTCTGCGGTCTCTATCCCTATCACGATCGCGGTCCCTATCTCTATCCCTCTCCCTGTCACGGTCCCTTTCCCGATACCTATCCCTGTCTCGTTCCCTATCTCTATCCCTATCCTTACGGTCATCTCTGTGAGACCCACTCTTGTATCTTCTACTGCTACTCTCTCTATCACGGTCTCTTCTGCGTCTATCCCTGCTAGAAGATCTACGTTTTGTACTACTGGATCGACTTCTTGAATGACTTCTCGATCTACTGTGGTCTCTCTTGCCATTCTTTCTTGACTTTCTGTCACGACTTGAACTTCTACTTCTCTTCTTATCCGACTTTTTCTTACGGTCTCTTTTGTGCTTTTTGCTTTTAGAGGAACCTTTTTTTCTACTATGAGAGGCCTTTGAAGAAGCCAGGGATCCAGAGTAGAGGGAGTCCGAATCACTTGAGTCAGAACTTGAACCGTGCCTATTGTTGTGGGCTCGACTGGACTCTCTATCGCTTCTGTCTGGTGACACTGACTCTAGGAATGGAACTACACCTTTTTTGGTCCGAGAATCATGGGTTCCTCCTTCACTTGAGGGTGCTTCTGCCACTGTCCTTTCTTCTGGATGCCCTAAAATATGGATAATTTGTCAGATTTGTACACAGGGTAGCAAAGAAGGGAAGAGACCCAGGTTTAGTAATTTCCTAGCACATTTAACATCAGTCCGTCAAAGAAATAAAGAGTCATCAGTTAAAAAGACTTGCAAATTTAACCCATGATCTACAAGATTTCAGTTCTCATCAGCAAGTCACTGCAGTACATATTCACACCACAATATTGAACAGTACTCTTCCATTAAGTAAATTAACAGATTTGACCTGCACTAGGTATGAAGGTGCTTCGTCAAGTACAGTCCAATAATAAGTAAGTCAATATGTCACACCTATGTCCCTAGTACTTATTTTTCACTTGGATCTATACACCCAAGAACCTGTAAAACTGAGTCTTATCAAGCATACAACACCATACTCACCATGATTACTCAAATGAAGGTTTGGTCCAGATTTCTGGCTTTCTACCTGTGCATCTCCTTTGAACCCCCCAGCCCTTTCCACACCCCTCCTTTTAGACTGTTGGTCTTCATCCTCATCTTCTTCTTCTTCCTCATTATTCCTTCTCTCTCTTTCCTCTTCTTCAGCAAGCTTTTTCTCAATTTCTCGTTCTATTACAGAGAAATCCTGCTTTTTCTTTTGTATCAGCTCCTAATTAGAACAGATATATTTTGTAAAATGGCAAGTGGAGAAAGACAAAGTAAGTTTTGGACTTAGTTTTACAAAAAGCAATTGTTGTTACCTTGAGATCTTCATCAGAATCATCACCATTGGTAGGTTTGGACGTGTCGCCTTCATTCTCTGAGTCACTGTCCTCGCTGTCATCATAGATTCCCAAACCTGCACCATCACACATTAGAGAGACTGTGAAAGTACTATGCAGACACAAAACAGAAGCCAGGACGCACCATAGTGGTTCAATATGTGATGTGGATGTATTGATTTAATTGAAGTTAAAATTAGAAATATGATAAAGTTTTAAATTTAAATTGAAGGTTTGAATATGAAAGATTTGTGGCTTGGAATATGAATTAAAACCAGCACACACTGAACCACTAAATAGCTTCTGAATCTATGGTGAACCATTCATGCTGTTATGGTTTCCTCCCAACATGCTTGGCCATGACAAAACACTTATACAAGCAAATCCAGATGATTCAATCAAAGTTACCCTCATGGCCTTCAACAGAAAGTTAACTTTCGGCTAATTAAAGTAGATGGATGCATAACATTAAACATCTACATCAGATCCTTAGACAATCAAAACAGCTGGTGGAGTCAATAATCAGCATTACTCCAATTTTTAAACTACCCCTCACATAATGTATTATACTGAAATTTGAAACTTCAAAAGGAAGAAAAAATTAAGAATTGAAGAAAGAACATGCACCAGTTATCTTATGTCTTTGATCCACTATCAAACAGTTTTAAATTAGACTGAAGACAGATACATAAGGTACAAGTTCCACCACATAAATACCCCATTCAAACACACACATACACAAATAACAATGAATTCAAAAGTTTCTTAACAGCTGTGAAATTACATGATACTGAACACTAACAGTAGATGGGGAGAGAACGACACAATTGGAAAATGAGACTTACCAAGTTTACCGGTCAAAGATGCTAAAGCCGGTGTCTTCTGCACTGCTGCCGGAGCTTTGTCACAAATACAAATTTCATTAACACACACTATTGAAGGGAGTGATTGTGATGTATGCTGTTTTTAGCCAAAAATCAGGCTTCCAGAAGTCAATAAAAAGTGGAAGGTCTCAATGTGGCTGTGTCAGCAAGAAATTAACAACATTTGCACCCTAAGTTTATCGCGAAGACTAGGCCTAACTTTTGAATAAGTGTGCTGGAAGGCATTTAAACTAATAAAGAGTTATTAATTTAATGCCATCTCCAAATATAGACCACTTCTCTGCCAATTAACTTACATGAATATTGGTAGCAGGTACCTGAAATGGCAAGACTTTCACTCGCACCCAGCCCATTATTTTTACCCTACCTAACTGAGATATCTTTCAATGTTTCTGAGAACAAATATCGTAATTGATGCATGCTGATTTTTAAAAATTGCACTTCATATTGTTCCGAATCCAAATTTGACCAGACTACTAAAAATACATTAAAATGCGTTTTTTATAGTTTAGAAAAAGAATAGGGAAGACGTTTGGAGAGGATGAAGAAGCAGCCCTTTTGGATTGCAAGCCTATGCAAGATTTACCAATACCTTTAGAGCGAGCCCTAATGAATGCATCTTCAGCTATTGATTGCATTTCTTCTGTTGTTACCTCCAGCAGCACTTCAGTTAGCATGCGTCGAACTTTCACCATCTGCCAAAACAAGAGTACTAAAGTAGTATGTACCCTAAAAGACGTGAGTTCTACCTGATGGTCAGCAAAATATATTGTAAATCACACACCACTTCCTGCAATATTTCCTCTTTACTTTTGGGAGGATCATCTGGTTCTGGAGTTGGAGACTTTGCTTTCTTATTTTCTTGTTCAGCATCACTAAATCTTGATTTACGTTTATCCTGGTTAATTTTTTGACTGATAGGGGCTCTCTCTTCTTCCTCTGAATCACTCTCCTGGATATCAAAAATTAAGAGATAATAAAGATATCACAATAAAAGAAACATCACAAAAACTAGGTCTTACGAATTTGCTCTTTTTGGGTATCATAGGTTGCCCATCGTCTGCTAAAGCTTCTTCCTCTTCTTGAATTTTTTGACGGATCATCTCTTCCCTCTGTTTAAGTTGCTGCTCTCTTTCAAGCTTTCTCTGCTTTTCTCTTTCCATTTTTTCAAGACCATCTCTGATCCAAGATGGCAAATTACGACGTTTGGCAGCATCTGTAGTGAGGTTGCGGAACAAAAAACAACAGTTAGCACAAACAGGAAGGAAAACACAATAAGGGAAAGAGAGTTTCAAACCAACAGACCTATTGTTTGAGTGGTATCTACTTCCTCAACTTCCGCAGATTTACGGTCGCTGCGAAGGAAACGATCACGCGCTGGGGGTCGTCCGCCCCCTCTTTTCCAAGTTCCTCCTCTTCCATGCTTAGAAAAAGGGTGTCCTTGTGGTCCATCATTGGGTATGTGATGTGGTGGTGCTACCGTAGGGGGCACACCTGGACCTGCCCAGAAGCCTCCAGATGGGGGAACTGATTCTGAACTTCCATGATTGTAATCAAATGTGCTGGGTGCTGAGCTCTCCAGTAGGGCTTGTCCTCCTGCAGTGTTGTAGCCATAAGTTGGAGGCACTACAACAGCAGCAGCTGGTGCCACTGGATTGTTTGCCCAATCCCATGGTCCTGCTCCCCAATTATTCCACGCTCCCCAAGTTGAAGGATCACCTAAATATGGAAAGCACAGAACAATATTGATTGAAGAAAATAAGAGATGAAGTTCAAAAATTTGATAATGGGAAACACACTTGATCTACCTGGAGAACCATGAGGAGGTGCGCTTTCAGAATCCATGGATTCTTCTTTAGTTTCCATATCCATTGGAGCTTCACCTCCCTCTGTTCCAACATCATGGACAACCTTTACAGGCTCAGAGCGCAAAGGACCAATAGGTGGGGGCGGAGGGGCTGGTGGGACTTGATCCGGTGGAAAGGTCTCTTTCATCTGGATCCATTGTTGCGCTAGCTGAGCCCAGTCAACTGTAACAAATGTGCATAATTGGCTTAGATAATTTTTCAAGGAGATAATGCCAGTATAAGGATAGAGAGCCAGGAAGCACTTACTCTCATCATGTGAAAGATTTTGATAATCCGACTGGTTCAACGCCCATTGAGAGTACTCTGCATTACTTGCTCCAGCCCACATGTTTTCTGAAAGACAGAATCACCAAGTAAATTAAAAACCACCTTGTAAGTGTCAAAATATTAACACATCATTAGAAATTAAATTAAATTGCCCATGTCAGAAAGGTAAAACAGAATGTCCAATGCCAGAATCTGAAAATTAAATGCTAAAGATCACCGGCAATCAATGTAATCATAGATACACGAAGGAGGTGATTTTACAGTCAAAGTAACAATTACCACACAAACAATCAGGGATCTTTCAGGTAATAAAATTGAAAAGTGAGGTTATGGGAACAAACATAGCGGCCGCAGAGTTCGGATTTGGCACACTCACACACAACTTTCGAGAAAAATGGGTGAAGAAAATCTGTACAGGACCGAAGGAGCGTCTCTTCGCTTTTCACTATCATCTAAAACTCAAATTTAACAAAAAGTTTAGAATGAGATAAAATTGCTAGAAGAGCAGAGAAGGAAGGCAACCAGCGAAGACAACGATGCTTCAGGTTCAGGAGCAGGATGTAAGTTGATCAATGTTTATGGAAGCTGACAGACAACGATAACAGCGGGAAAAAATGTCATTTTTTTGATGTGAACTTGAGAGAGAGTTACGAAATGTCGTGTTAAAGGTGATAACGGCATCGGCGATGTAAATATTATCTAAGTGGCAAGAATTTACAGTTACATATCGACAAAATTCTAAACCTTAAAGGAATAAATGTCCAAAACCCGATTGAAAAGTTACTGCTAACATTTTCATCTTTTCTTTGACCCGACCGAAAAGAAGGGCTGAAAGGCTGTCAACGTCAGATTGAAATTTCTCGTTGTTACAAACGCAATAATTTATCATTTCCAGCAGGCTGAAACCATATAACAAACTTACGTTCTAGAAATATTATCGTTTAAAAAATTGGTGTATCCTGATTTTGTCGTTTTTTACTATGGTAGATGTAAAAATGGAGCGACCGATTTTCACGAGCGAGCAACGGGGGTTGGTTGGAGTGGGAGTGGGCAGAGCTGCGAGCTGTGATCTGTTATCTGCTTACGTGAATGAGGGAACATTCTAGTTTTGACGTTTGATTTTGGCTGGAAGTGTGACGCTGTCGCATTTTGACAAGCAAATATCTGCAGAGGAAATGGCGCTTAAACTTGTAATTGTGCTTTCGTTGCTGGCTGCGTCCACGCTAGCCAGCCTAGCTCCTATCGGTAAGTGAAGGACCATACCCGTCGGCTTTTAAATTGTTGGCGATTAGTAGGGTTAGTCGTCATATTGTATTATTATTTATTATTACCACTCGTCCACACGAGACATTAGATTTTATCCGTCCAGCTTTCAATAGTCACCCTCATTTTTGGTCTTGAGAATTTCAGAGAACTGTTGTTGGGAGCTTTCTACAAACCATTTTTTTTATCAGTATTGAGTCCTGGATGGCCTACATCAGCCAGTGTACCATTACTTTATTCCGACTTTGCCTTTATTATTCCCCCACCTTTACTTCACCGCGCTGATTTTCGGGGCTCTCTTTCTTCTGTGCAAATGAGTGCCTGCTCAAAGCTCTTATTCGGGTAATTATCTTTGCGGGCCAAGTGTTTATCAAACCCTTAAGAATGATCAGGGGTATTCCCTTCAGGAAAAAATGTTTCTTGATGCGATAACTGTAGTGTTTATACCTATTGGAAGTGTTCTTATTTGTTAAGTGGAGGAGCATAGTATGTGTTGTGTAATAGGTTGTCCCAAAACATTTATGTAGGAAGACCAGACTAAGATCTTGATTTGTTATTGTTGAAATCCCTATGCTACCTATGCTTTTTTAGTCTGGACCATAGGCTGGTGTGACTATATATTTTTATTGTTACAGATAATCCAAAGAAAGAAGACACTAGCAGTAGTAAGTATTTGAATTTTCTAAAATTTTCAGCCTATTTTGTATTTTTTGCTGGACCCCAATTTTGACAATTCCCTGTTGTTATTTTAGGTGATCATGTGCTCCAGCTCAAGAGGGACTCTTCAGTTCCAGCGCTACCATCACCTGGAGCTTCAAATATGTCCCTATCTCCTAACAAAAACGATAGTGGAACCATTGCAGTAACCACCCTCACTGAAACCATAGCCCCAGTAACTCTACTACTCCCAAATGACACAACCACCACTTCTGCCCCTGCAACTAACGCTACCACTACCTCCGCTGCCCCCATCACAACTGCACCCCCCACTCCTGCTCCTAATGCAACCACACCTGTTCCTCCAGCTACCACTACAGTGAAACCTACACCACCCACTCCTGCTCCTAATGCAACCACAACTACTCCTCCAACTACCACTTCGACAATCAAACCTCCTGGACCTGCTCCCAACACAACCACTGTTGCTCCCCCCACTACTTCAACTCCTGGTCCCAACACAACAACCACCACCACAGTCAAACCTCCCACCCCATCTCCCACCCCATCTCCCACCCCATCTCCCACCCCATCTCCCACTCCATCTCCCACTCCATCTCCCACTCCATCTCCCACCCCAACTCCTACCCCTTCCCCTACCCCATCTCCTACCCCTGCTTCTACCCCTGCTCCTAAACCTGCGCCTATACCAGATCGTCATTTTGATGGGCCAAGTTTCATTGGTAAATACAATTATTAATGTTTTTCATACTATATATTTGAAATATTGCTCATGTCATTGATTGGTTGTTTCATTTGTCTTTTCAGGGGGTATTGTATTGGCACTGGGAATGATGTCAATTGGATTTGTTGCCTGGAAGTTTTACAAAGCCAGACATGAACGCAACTATCACACCCTGTAAGCTCCTTTCTTTAGACTTGTCGACCAGCCTCTGTTTCTTAAGATGAATACTTGTCACATGTTCTTAAGGAATTGAGTATTTTAATACGGGTGGCTGTATAACATTGGCTCATTTATTTGAACAGTTACACTTCAGAATCATAGTTTTTTCTGCACATTTAAGTTCTTAAGAAGTTTTCTCCATTCAGTCTAGTGTGGAGTGCTAGACTTCAAAATGCATTTGAAGTGTATTTTCATTGTAATTTATTGTAGTTTTGTCAATTGGGAAATGTGATGCAGTATTTTTCTTAGGGTTCCCTTACTTGATGAGAATCATAGACGCTAAGTTCTCAACGCTGCTAAATTCAAAGGATCAACTAGCCTCTCTTTTGTTTAAAAATTTGGAACAAATTTTTGTTTTTCTGGTTTTGTTTGTTTATAGATCTAACTTTGGAGACTCTTCTGTCATTTGAGAATGGTATATTATTAAACTGAACTCACTGTTGTCAAGCAAGTGGTTCAGCGTGAGTATTGGCACATGAGCACAAGGAGTGCATTTTATGGCCACTTATCAAAATTTTTGTTTTAAAGCGCTTGTACAGCTTAAGGATGTGATTGGTGCTTGTGATTTAGTGATATCACTCGTCATTAAGACGCTTGGGAGTGAGCTTTTCAAGGCTTTTAGTCATATTGTTGTAGCCCCCTCAGCGTTTCACTCAGTGTCCTCTACTGTCTGGAATGACCTTGCACTGCACTCAATGTCAGTCCTAACTCTGAGTTAAATAACTGTAATTCTCTGTGTGATATTATAATTGCAAATGTCAAAAGGGAGCTGGGGATAATAGATTGAAAGATTTTGCTACCAAGCACAAATCAGGTAAGATTTTCTGTGCTGGAAATGCTCTTGGCCCTACTCTCTTAGGAAAAGAATGTAAAATAGACTGGGAGCTATGTGGGATGGTCACACTGCAGTGGATCAAGGCTCACAGCGACTCCAGCTCCTGCAAGACTGATGTTATTTAGGAATTAAAGAAATACTAATATCTAGCAGGTAGGGATGTCTCTGGTTTTGAATCTATTATTATAATTTTTCTTATGGAATCTCATACTTGTCTCCATTATTATTGTTTGAGGTGGATAGTTCATTTTGTGTACTTCTACTGATTATCTCATTTATTTGTTATTCAAAATTGTTCTAATGATAGATTTGTTGAAATTTCGTCCCTTCTATGTTTGCAGTACTCATAACGCATGTGCTGTTTATGATTGAAAGTTATTCTGTGTATTCAAAAGATATTTTCAATGATGATTTTTATTTTAGAGATGTAGAAGTATTGAAAACAGTGTTAAAATTGAAATTAGTCATCAATGTTTTTCGTAGAAAACAACAACTGTTCTGTCCTACTATTGTGAAGTGAGAGAATGGTTTTTATCAATCCTGACCAAACTACTTATTGTAAGAATATGAAATTGTGTGTGCTGGTTTTTTTAAATTCTGTATCCTTGAGAAGTGCTTAATTTAAGAAGAGTTTCTGGCTTTCTTTCTGCAGAGATACTTTTTGTATTTGGTGAATTGAAATCTATGGCCTGTTGTGTGTACAATGTTATTTGAGTGGTGGTTGATTGGTATACTAGCTCTTAACTTCTTCTTAAGTGGGTAATTTTGACAGTTTCCTTAGTTTTATTATTTCTTACGTTTTGAATATTTGTATTTTTTACTTTCTTTTCTTATATCTTTCTTGATTAGCAAGAACTTCTGAATGTGATTCGTGTCCATTCTGCCTTGCGGGTGGTATCTGCCACTCTTCTGACAACAGACATGACCTGCTGCTTCCTCCCTCCAAGCAAGGCATATGGCTTTTCTTTAATCAAAGTAGACCGATAATATTTTTATCTCTGCAATGTTTTTTTAAGTTTAGTTCAGGGGTGCTTTCAGTTTTCTATTCTATCTCATCTGAGGAAAATGTCATGTTCAAATATACTAGTCTATAAATCTGTGGCCACTGCTTTTCCTCCACTTAATTGTTTCTAAACATTGTGTAGTAAGGTATGTCTTATCTCATTACAAATGTCAATTGTGGCCAAGCACCCCCTCCGAGATCTGCCTCATGCACTATTAATTGAGTGCTATTAGCAGCAAGCCACTTTGGTTGACTTTCCTTTGTTGAATGTTATGTTATTCTGTATATAGTTTGTATCTGTATAAACACAACTTATCTTTCATGTGCCACATGATTAAGGTTTCATCAAAAATCTTTCGCTCAAAAATGTAATGAGTGTTTAGAAGTGTATTGTCCGCTTCTCATTTATTTTTAAGCCTATGATCAAGCATAGCTCATCTACACTGTCCCATCTAACAACTTCCTTTAAGATGGCTTGACTTGCTTGTGTTGACTTGAAATTTCATTATATTTGGCCTCAGATTATTTTATGATCTGACTTAGGCCTTAGATGATTATAAAATTTCACAACACCCGATGCTTTTTAAGTTGTCTTGTTAGCCACTAAAAGGTGGTATTTTCCAGAACCTTGTTTTGTGCAATGACACATTATCTTGTTTATTTTGTTGTGTTTTTTTTTTTTTTCATTTCTTTTTCATGACTTTGACAGCATGATTCTTGTCTTCTTTACTGTTTTCATTGTATTTGTATGAGTACAATTATTATTTCTGTCTGTTTTTCATGTGACATTTTATTTTCACTCTGTCTTAAGCAACTTATTGAGCATTATGCACAAGCACAAGTTTAATTTGTTTGTTTAGACAGCTATGTGCTGGATCCAAAGTTAGCAAATGCTTGAATTGAGTGACTAATTTTATTAAATGGTTTTGGAAATATTTGACAATATGTAACTTGAAACCTACTGCTGGAATCAGTCATGAGGTGAGGGGCCTCTTTGTGACCCTCCGACTGTGATTGGCTCATCGAGTTTTGAGTCAGAGCTGCCTCAAATGAGGTGAGACGCCTCACCTCACAAGACTGAATTCACCATATTTATCTTTCAAAATGGATGGTTGGATGGTCTCATTACAGTACAGCACAATGCTTTAGTCCTGTGCATTATTTCTCTTGCCTGTCTAGTATTTGCTTATCTTAAACCAGCCCCTGCAAGTGTTGAGACCAACAAGTGCTTTACAAGTGATTTACTATTTTCATGCAAGGAAATTTTCTATTTAAAAAGGAATTCTCTCATTTAAAATGTTACAGGAATTGATAATACACCATTGAATCACTGCTGAAGCTACATTCCTTTCTACTGTTGTGTGCAGTTAGATGTGATAACCTTGAAGTCATTTGAAAATGAATATATGTGTATGATACCAAAATATTTTGATTATATGTATTCATTGTGATTGATGTATATTGGCAGTTAACCCAAAGTGGAAAACTATATGAATGAATAAAGTGAGGAATTGAAAATTGGTTTGTGTTTTACTACTTTAAGAATTATTTGATTGAAACAAGCCTTTCTATAAAACCTTACCACAAAAGCCAAAGTATGGCCTAAAAACAGAACAGATCTTACCCCACACAAGAAATGAAGGACAGTATCAAGAGGTAGAAGCAACAATACCAATCTCTGCTGTGTTATGAACCTTTATTAAATAAAACTAACCAGTGTCATGCACTACATTTACCAACGGAAAACAGTACTACGTTTTCTGTAGATAAACCATGAAATGCAACATTTACAAAGTCAAACAGGTAGAAAATTTCAGTTGCTTTCAGAATTAGGAATCAAGATTTCACAACAGTAATTACATTTAATAATACCAGTAAAATTACGAGACGAAATACCTCAAATAGAAAATTTATCTAAGCTCCCGGATTAAGACTTAAGAAATTATAGTTTGCTGTAGAATGGCTAAAGTTGTTCTTCAAAAGAAAATTTTGGTTTCATTAGTTCTCATAGAATAGCATACTGATCATATAAGAGGTCCCTTACTAGATAATATTCATCACACAAGCAACCTTCTAATGTGACATGACCTTCCTCCACCTGAAAACAAACAAAAAAAACAGCAAAAATTCCACAGTTTCACACAAGTTAATTATGATTTCAAGTACCGATTATTTCTTTTTTTTACATTACTATTACCTTACGAACTGCTATTGTGTTGTTGAAGCACCAAAGTACACCACCAGAAAATTCTGAAGGTATGTTATTTTTTAATAGGACATGTTTAAAGTCCAATAGTTTCAGTTCATTTATGAGCACAGTCTTATGACCTTCAACCTGGAAAAAGAAAGGAAACTTCAAAAACTTTGTTTCCTAATATTATATGGTAAATCTAATGTTACAGGGTAGAAACATTACCTCATTCATTGGTAGAGGTTCTAAGGTAAATATTTCATCTTCCATGCCATCTGAAATTCCAAAACAAAGATTATAATATATAGAAATGGGTATGCTACTTGTGAATAAGAAAATACTTTTACCTTTTAATGCTTTCATTCTATCCTCTTCATCATCTGCATCCATGGATGAGCGAATAGCATCACGACTGACATCTCTTGATACTATCTGAGCATCAAGCCAAGCAAGTTCGGCATCTTTCCCTCTCTTAAAATCAAGAGATGATACAAGAGCATCTGTCAAGCGAACCTGGAAATTTTAAAAATAAATACGGCAACTCGATCGGATACTAAAAACTTGCCAAGAAACTACATATATATATACATGACATTTAAAAAATAACACACCTGATAAATATGTGTTTCAGTGGTAACATCAATAACTTCACCTAAACTTGGTGCAAAAATCCTTGCATCAGTCCATTGCTGACAATGTTGCATCATAGCACGCGTGCTATCTGGTGTGCCCCTCACCAAAATAAGCCGCCTTGGCCGAAGCTGACCAAGTATTTTCTGTAATGATTCACCGTCAGATCTGCCTTCAAAATCAATAAATTGAACCTGAGCAGCCACTCTAATTGTGTGAGTTGAAGTTACACACTTTGTGGGGACTTCCTCTGGTGGATCTGCAATGCATAAAAAATACTCTTAATCTAAAGAGGAAAGAAATTGTGAAATACTGGTGCATGTGGTCAAAGCTGTAAAGACTTAATGCTGGATTGCTAACAAACCTGCTATTTCTAAATCTTTTAAAACCATGTTTTCTTTATCGTCGTCAACATCGGCCACTCCATCCACCATTTTGTAATCTTCTGGCCTAAGAGATGAAACATGGATGAATATTTTGCAGTAAACTAGAGTAATCAGGAAAGAAGCTATGAAAACTCTTCAGAAAGTCTGAATATGTTAAGGTACTAACCTGATAAGTTCTCCATACTCATCATACTTAATTTTCTCTTCAAAAAATGGAAATAATGGGTACTGCTTTTTTGAGCTTTTGAAAAACCCAGGATGAGATTTTGCTTCATTTTTGACCAACAGGTCATGTTTACCTTTAGCAACAGCTGAAAGATCTAACTCATCTTCTGAATCTGAACTAAGATCAGGATCAACTCTGAAAATCAAAATCAAAATTTTTAGGGAATGTATTGCCTTTACATTACAAAATGGAAAATGCCTCTATTTAAATTACCCTCTTTTCTTTTTAGAGATCTCTTTAGTTTCTCGCTCTTTTCTATAAAATTCATCAAGCTCAGCTCCTTCTAAACGTACTCTTCTTTGTACTTCCAATTGAAGAGTACATCCAGTACCATGCTCTATTAATTCACGAGCTAAAGTACCAGGTGATGTCCTGTGAGTGTAAAGTGAATGATGACCAATCAACTTAACAGATTTTGTAAAAGGAGGATAAGATTATTTATGTTTTGACTAAACTTTTTTCTTCAAGAAAAAACAATAAAAAATTCAAGAATGCAAAAATATTAAAAAGATGTTTTAAACGGTACCTGCATGTAACAATTATGCTGTTGTTTGGGTTTGAACTCCACTGCAAAAATAGTTCCCTTGAAAAACCACACTCCATATCTGGTGTGCTTGCAAGCACTACCTGAAAATAAGCTTTGTATCAAGTACTGTCCACAATAGAGACAATAGAACAAACACTTCTTTTAAAGAAATTATCTGAAAAGTATATGTTTTTACTTTTGGACTGGGGACTTTATTTAATTCAGCAATACTGTGACATAATTGCAGATGTTTGAACTGGAACGGGTTATTTCTTGCTCCTTCAAATGACCTCATTAATTTGTCGCTCATCCATTCGATCTAGAATTGCATACATGATTAGTTCACAGTATTTGATAAAATTTCTCTAATTTCACACTTCCGAATATTACCTGGCTCTTTGCAAACTCAACAACATTATATGATACATTGTTTAACAAAGCTAATGAATAGGCAAGAAGTCCTGATTCTTTGTTACGCCAAAGTTGATCTAACATATGGGCTAATTCCAGCACACGTCCTGCAGTATCAACAGCAACCAGAACATTGCCATTGTTTCGTAGAGTCTGCAGAATGTTAGCTGAACAAATTAATCAACTTGTTAGTATTACATTCGAGGGTGCAAAGAGTAAATTACTTGTTTCAAGTTTCAAGGTTTTCAAAACAAATAAGCATACTCATAAGTTTCTCATCTCTTGTTCGTCTCCTTGCTTGCTGATAAGTAGCATTGAAAGCATCAGTGATAAATAGAGATGGACGCTGCAATTTTTCAAGTTCACATCCATTGAGATGACGTTCTTTTTTGTGATTAAAGTCAGTTGCATAAATAATATCTTCTTCACCAATTTTAACAATTTTCCAAATTGTGCCACCAATCATGTGCCCGGCAGGCAAAGGAGTAATGGTAAGGCCAAAACCCTTTCCTGTAACAGAAAGATTTCTTTTGAAACAGTATTTTATTTTTGAAAGATGGTTAGGCAATCTATACACAAAATTATACCTTTCATTGACACACTTTGATTGTACTTCAACTGAACAATCTTGTCAAATGCCGCATCAACATCATCAAGCGTAAAGAGAGTAAACTCTGAATTATTGTGCCATGACTGAGAAGAATAGAAGCCTCAAATTAATGACACAAGACATAGTTTTCTCACTTACTAATAAGTGGGTGCACCTTAACTTAATTAAGTATGTCCCAAGATGAGACAGTAATGAGTGCACACTACCTACACTGCAAATTTTTAGAACATACCTGATATAAATCATACATAAACATTTGGCCCATTTTATAAACAGGAATCGTAGCATAAATTGGACAGCTTAATCCACATTTTCCAACCATATAGGGCAATGCTCCTAAATGCAGGGGGTCAGGGTATGATAGAAGAACTGCATCAATTTGATTTGCATACCTGAAAAAGGAGATGAAGTAATTCGAAAGCATTTGGAAATAAAGTTACTGAGTGTAAGATTAATACCTCCGTAATTCTTTAATGAACTCTGGGTCAAATTTTTCATTCCATCCACAGTCTAGAAGGAACCGAAACTCATCGACTTGTAAAATGTAACATGGGGGAGACTCATCCATGGACCCAGACACGGTGTGAAGCTTAATTATTGATGTTGATGTCATCTTGATTATTCTGTGAGGCACAACATTTGTGAGATTGAATCTTCTTTGAGTTACAATATCCAGACAATACAGACGACATAAGGTTGTACAAATATATGTGTTGGTTAAAATATTTGTCACCTCTCACATGACAAAAAACTAATCTAATCGCAATGTTTTATTTTGTAATAACTGTAAGGTTAACTTAACCACAATTCAACACTTCAACAGAAAAGTATTCATTACCAAAGTTGTCTGGTATGTGATCAAAATGAAGACAGTCGGTCAGCAGCAGGATCCAAGTAGAACTAAATCATCATCATGTTCGTAGTAAGCAACCCATCATCAACATCCAGCAACAAAATTTTAGGTTCAACGGGAGCGGCAGCAATGGAATGAGAGCGACGAGGGAACCGGGCCGGGGCGGAGAGGGGGAGGGGCATGAGAG